TTTTAGACCATCATCATTTGACTTCTCATAAGATTTCCATGAGAATAATAATTTCTGGATCCATGAGGGACAGTAGTTTATGTCCATTCCAAGTCAATTTCTTTAACCTTCCGATACAGTGCGGGAAAGGGAAACCGGGGAGTGAACCCTACCGCCCTTTTTAAAAGGTTGAGTCAGACTTGGTTTTCAGTCATGAAATCAATGTTTGGAAAGTACACTCGCGTGCAATGCAGACATGTCATCCCTAAAACTACACTCGCACCTGTTTATTGCGATGAGATAAAAGGGAAACGTCTATCTTTCAATTATGTCTAGGAAGCGAAAGTGGAAGACACCATAAAATGTATCATTTTCACCTTTTCTCGCAGTAGAAGTAGGGAGAATCTGCTTCCTCCTTTCTAACAGAACCCCCTTAGACCTAAGCGTGAATGCAGTTGCAATGAATTGTCCTGGTTGGCAGAAATATCATTTCTTGCAGTGCAGAACCAATGCTGACGCTACAATTTGGCGAGAGCGTCCCCCTTCAGTAATTGGTTCCGACGTTTCCTGGAGATCATCCTAAGGCAACTGCGTGAGACCGATGCCGACGACCCACAGACGGATCCTGTGATCATCCCCTGTCACCATCATGGAGGCACCTTGGGTCGCCTATGTTACCATCTCGTTTGCTACCTCATCCAGGAATTGCGCAGGCGTCATCATCGACCAACTCCATGTTTTGACTACTGCTTCCTGCGTCATGTTGGGGTCAGTTTGTCTCTCGTCATGAGCTGTCCGCACCAGCAGTACCTGCGGTCGTTTATGTCAACAGTGTGGCCTACATCATTGGAGTGGCATCCTCCGTTTTTTCTGCAGGAACTTTTCCGGATCTATTTACTTCGGTCACCCCCAATGTCGACTTCATTTATAATGCCGTCACCAGCGGATGAAACTGCTCCTTAGTGGCAAGTGTTGCACAGAAACACCAGGGAAGTAAATATTGTTGCTTTGATCTTTAAGACATCCTCATTTCATTGGGAATAAAGAAGCTGAAAAGCGTTCCACGTCTTATGGTGCGGATATGGAAATATGTACGAAAAGCCAAAGGATGAACAAGGACTAGAAAGCACAGAACATCCTACGCAACAAATCCTCAAATCTCGAGCACCCTCAAAATTTTTTTTAAACACGTTGTGGCATCGATGTACTGCATCTCTTAGGACGTCATGACATTTTATATCATACACCACTGTTATACCCAAAGGAAAAGTTTCGTCTTCATATCACGACTTTGAGAAAATTATCTTCAATACATCTTCACAGAAAGTGTTTAATCTGTCTGCGTGCGTGTCATTCCAAGAAACACGTATGGGTCTGCGCGTATGGTTTTTCCCGAAACTACTTGCATTCGAACAATCATTCCTTCAAAACTGACTCGATCGGTTTCGGATGAATGATTGCCCCCATTCGGGCCGAAAGTGCGGATCGTGTCGGGCCGACCTGGTCGGTCGGTCCGCAGTCAATTTATGATACAATAACATCGCGCATTCTTGAGAATGCGCGATGTTATTGTATCCCTCGTTCCTGTTTCTCTGCCCTTTACATGGCTGTTACTTGTAGTTCACGGGGTATTCATTTGCTTTTTCGATGTCTATCTGATTCACAAGGTACTAAAATTTGCCTTCTTCCCATAGGCGAGAGGATCAAGGAAAGAAGACTTACATATTAGCATTTTGTATATACGGTATATCACGAGTATTAGAGCTCACCAAAAGCTGGATAATTTTGGATGTTGGATATTTTTGGATAATTTTTATCTCTGATGAAGACATACGTTTCAGTGACCTCAAATATGCGACTATTTTTGCTTCCTTTCTGCATTTCAGTATCACAAAAATTAATGTAAGACACATTAATCTGGCCCCATGTTTTCATCTGAATTGCTTTCAGGAGCATGCGGACTAGTTGGAGAATGCGACGAGAGGAGTCTCAGAAGGACGAAAAGCAAAGCATTCAAACTCGTACAAGGGAAAAAAAAATCAATAAAGCTAGGCGCCAGTGGAAGTCGCACAGGTCTCCTTTCCCTCCCATTCACTCACAGACATTCACAAGCACGGGCGTGCATGAGAGCGTGAGGCGGGAGGGATAAGTCAACAGGGAAGAGCGGCGCACAATTGCTCAAAATTCATGCAAGTCAGGAATTCAATCTCCGCGTTCCCTATTCCCTGGGAGAAACGAAGCAATCTTGGTGTCATTTGATCCCTGAAACATCCCTCTATGCGATAGGCACAAAAAATCCAGTATTTCCGACCGAAGAACAGAGAAAATCGACCCGGTATGACAGAAATGGCCCCCATTTTCTACATAGGCCACAGCAAGAAACGATAGGCTCCGAGAAGAGCGAACGGATTCTCATGAAAATCCACACGAAACTTGTTGAGAGACTTCTTTAGAGATCTTACAGAGGAATTTTTGAATTTCGGTCTCGTTTTTGAGCAATGCTTGTCAACGTCAAGTCATTTCCAAAAAAGGGGCAATTTCTGGTGGATCGTCGAACTTTGAGAGGAAACGGTTGGAGAAAATTATGCGTAACTCCGCCAAAAGATGGATCAGGATAGCCTCCAAAAAGTGTAGCATGCTTTTGTCGATAGAAAATGTCTACGAGGAATGAGAGCGAAAAAACTGAATACGGAAACGGAAAAATTCGCAGTTATAGCGCCATGGCGTCTCGATAACGAGAGTCACATGCATGCATTTATATTTTACATTTAGCGCGGTATGTCCCAAGGAGAATGGCACAAAGTTGACGTTCCTGCACCTAAGGGTTGGGGAGATACAGATTTTCAAAGAGAAGTATGTAAATCGTGACCTTTGACCTCAAATCATGGCCCCGGGTGTGACCTGAGAGAGTCAGCAATTGGCTCCAAGGCCCTTTCTGAGGTCCCTTACAATAATTATAAAGCAGAATTTCGATCCAGGGGGGTCGATTTTCATATTCCCATAGTACCTTAAGTGGCCAAAATCAGTGGTGTTTTCCCTATGCTACATTCCTATATATGAATACATTTATCCAGAGATAATATATTACAACTGTGTTTTGCCGCACTGCCCGGCGATCAATTTTGTGGTGAATAATTGTTGGAGAAATCGAGAAAATGTGCGAAGTCATATTAATTTGGACAGAAGCTTTGGGTTTTATCAGCAGGCGTGATTTGGGAGTTTAATCACAGTACAGCGCAAACTCATATTCTGCTATTTTCATGATATTAAAGTAATATTGGATTGATGGCAAATGGTAAAAAGTGAATTATGTTTGTTTCCTCGGCTGATGTCTCCAATGTAGTCCCATCTTGCATGGTACAATGTTGTCTAGTTACTCATATCACTTTTCAATTTTGAGAAGTAAAGAAATCGTCTGGTGACAGATCCGGAGAGTAATGAGGGTACTAGAGGACAGGAATGCCATGTTGTGAAAAACTGGAAGATCATGAGTTGGTTTTACATTTGTCGGGATGAAGCTTACTAGCTGCACATGGCAGGCGTTGGAAAACATTCTGGTGGAATGCCTGATCCACTGCCTGACCATTAAGGACGAACATATGATGACTGTACAAGTCCTTCAGAATCAATATTCTCCACACTAACTTTTACAGACGTGCCTCTTTTCGCCTTGGTGAACTTAGTGACCTCAGTTCAAAAGTATTGGTACGCTATAATTGAGTATCACAATGCGTTCTTTCAGGCATTTCGTGCGTTCCTGTGGCCGTTTTCATAATGTGAAGCACACCCGTTGATATTAGCCGCCGGTGTACCCAGGGTTCTCGGTCACAAAGACATTCTAGGGAGGAAGCGACTTCCTAACCCCTTCGCCAGGGATTGGTCAGTAACACATAAAAACTTGTCTGTCCGTACTACGGTTCTCACTTTTCCAAGTACCTGGTATGTGAAGAGCGCCCCAAGAAATGGCACCATTGGGTGGTAATGCAGCAGGGGAGGTATCTTCCGTCGCATGGTTCATTCATATCCAACGGCAAATCGAGGAAATTTTCTGCGAGGGCGACTGAATCTCAAAAGAGACTGGCGAGTGGGAGTGGGGAAGGTGAATACCGAGAGAGAAGGCTCCAGGAAACTGCCTTCGAATATACACCTTAAGCAATCCTGAGGAATGCCATCTTCCCCCCCCTCCTTGGATCCGCCACTGTACATGTTCTTTCTTCCTTCTGTCCTTCCCCTCCGTTTTCTTCAGCCTATTGCTGGAAGAGCTCGAACACATCTAAGGTAGATCAATGTAACTCTATTAAAACTAATGAAGGCGTTCCATGTAATTCGACACTGAAGGGAGAAGGCTCATCCCATTAGAGATCTATAATAAGTCAGGCGGATGCCTGACTTATTACAGATCTCTAATCTTCCTTTCTAAATACTTTCTCATACTATGTTACTGTGAAGTTCAGCATCTTACTTATGAAGTCAATAATGAAAAGTCGACAAGAGCTTTTGTGTTCGAAGACGATGCAGACCACAAGATTGACAAGAGTACAAAGTTCACAACCCCATGCTGTGATGCAGATGAGTCCAATGAGGTGCATAAATTTCATTCGGAAACTCTCTTTAACCTTGCTAAGGCCTAAATCTTCATTCATGACGTAAAAGCGATTTGATCTGGGTTTCATCATTTTGATATTTGGCATGCAAAGGGTCTGAAGAGGTTGAATGCAGGGTGATTATGAAGAACCATCTACACTTTAGTGCATTCAATCTCACTGAGCTCAAAAATATCATAGTTATAGCTTGCTTTAATCAGGGTGCTACTATGTCTTAATGTGTCACATATCACTGCAACTATTCAATATATGCTCCTTCAGTGTCATTTTCATATGTTTTCCGATATATCGACGATCTCATAGCAATTAACGATAATTTTTCCACTAATGAAATACCAACTCTCAGCCCTCAAAACAACTCTTTTATTTCAAAGCAGACCGAGTTGTTCTAATGTAACGTTGAAAGGCACTTCACCCTGTAGTGACTACAGAGTTGATGAAGTCGACATGGGAGGTGATGCGAGTGTAGTGGCTGGGCAAGGATAGGCACGGCTTTCCACCGTACGAATCCACCCCCATGGCATAGGCTATGCCGTTGACGTACACGACCAAAGGTCCACCACTATCCCCCTGCAAGGATGTTGAAAGTCTCGGAATATATTTTCTTGTGATGAGAGTGCAATGCACCCATTTCGAACATCTATTCACAGAAATACATCTGAAAATGAAATCGATGTTAAACGACTCACAGAACAAGTTCCAGTCCCTGTCGTGCGACCTCTGGCGCATATGATCCCTCTGTTGTACTCAGCGGAACAGGAATCCCTTGGAAGGACGACAGCATCCACTTTCTTCAGATTAGTGGGATAGGTCTTCCCATCCGTGGTGGTGGAACCCCAACCAAACATCTTGGCATAGCATGCTGTCGCACTGTTCAAGTTGTCGGACCTCGCTATGCAGATCGGCTGGATGGAGGGCGTGAAGTTCAAGGGGTTTGCCAGTTTGATCACGGCGATGTCATATCCCTGTTGGTAATTAGCTGCAGGCGATAAAGACATGCAAGAAAAAAAATTCTGCTGGGATGAGCGAGCATTGGAATTATAATAACTCAAGATGATGAACTGTAAGATGATAAGAGAGCACTCATTTCGATCCAAAGTAAAATGACTCCATATTTCTATCTCCTTTCCTTGCTAAATTTTGTATTGCCTCAAGAGCTTATCTGAATTGATCTTCCTTCACACCACAGTTCAGTTTCTTTCTGGTGCATAGGCCAAGAACTAAATTCAGTATTGACTCGAGGAATCTGCATCCTTATTCCGATCATGTTATTGCGAGGAACTTCTCTATTATTAAATCTTGGGAAGACTCATATTCCGAATTCTACAATTCCAAAATAGTAGCCCATAAATACACGTCTACAGGTAATTAGGCTGTCCAAAAATGCCTCTCGGAGGCATGTTCATAGGGAAAAATACAAGGCATTTGCACGCTACGTCTAATTTTTAAAGTAAACTCAAGATCGTCCACTACAACCGAATCCAGAATCACTCATTCAGAAACTATTTCCTCTCTGCACTTAACATAAATGAAGAGGCATGCATGTGCCCTTTCACTTACAGTCGACATAGGAGGGGTGTTGGGGCCATTTTGAGGCCACATATAAGGTTCCCATTTGCTTGTTCTCGCTCCCGACTCTGATGCTCACTGCCGTAGCACGCGTGGTCCTTGATTGGAGAGGAAATGCACAATGGGTCAATTACCTCTGGACCCAGGCCAAAAAAGGCAGCAATTGGTTGTTGCTGATTATTTGAGAATCAATGAAGGAAGCATATACTGTATGTATCCATCATCAGCAGGCTGTGTCCCTGGGTCTTGGGAATTGGAGTAACTTTCATTGAGCGAACCAAAAATCTCCGCGTCGTTCTATCGCATGAGCCCTTCAAGAGTTCAAATCATCCTGATTTTAACAGTTTTCCAGGAGCAAACTGACCCTTCCATGAGACAGTGAGCAGCAGTCAGGGCGTGGCGCTGATCGATGATGAAGCCTGTGCACCAAGATGATTTGCCAGCTATGGTGTATTCAACGAAGGCGAGCCATGGTGCTTCACTGATGGTCGCAGGACTTCCTCCGATGATCACGGGGTTCTCTTCTCTCTCCACCGCCTCGGAGTCACGCCATGGCAATAGGAAAAAATCCAGGAACTGTTGGAACCAGCTGCTTCGAGAGGATTCCCTGGTTGAACTCCATCGGCCGCATGAGTTCGCTACTAGAAGGCAGGATGCTTTCGCAAGCTAATATCATCTCAGCCGTAGTTGATGATTCATACAATAGTATAGAGATTAGAAGAAAAAAAATATTGGAAAAAAGTTGAGCAGTAATAAATGAAGCAGTTGCATTTCTTATTGGGAAAAATAGTCAAGGAAATAGTCATGTAAATACATTTCTGACCATGGTGAACATTTCCATCTGAACCAAAGGAAATGTAATACAGTTGTTTTCATTTGCGTAGTTTTTAGTCACTGATCGTTTCGTGTACTGGCGAAAAGAAGTTATGGGTGACAAAAAAATGGAGCATTACAGAATGACAAGTGACAGAATGACAGAATTACAGATCACATAGCCAATAACACTGCTGATGCATTTTCTCTAAATATGAGGTAAATGACTCACGGAATAAAGGGCTTGACGTCGTGTATTGGCTGCAAGTGCTTGGAGTAGTCGATCCAAGTCCCTGAAGGCTCTGTTGTGGAAGAGCAAGAAGAGCAAAGGTAAGAAGGTATCCGTTCATGGCGAAGGTTCTCCTCTCACTGGCCTCCGAGCGTAAGCTCTGCTTGTGGAGGGGGGGGGGGGAGAATGTTGGAAGGTGTTCGCCGTACGTGATGTGCGTTGATGAGGAGGGGAGTTCTTTGGAAAAGTTCTTCTTTCCCGTAGACGAGGAAAAGAGTTTATCGCCAAGCTGGCGCACGTGCTAAGACGGCTTTTCCTTGTTCGTTTCACGTTCATGGTTGTCTACACAATGAGGAAAGTTGCTGTACCAACGAGGAAAACGTGAGTTGGAAAAAGGACGTTCCAAATAGTGGTTTCAATAAGAGAACGATAGCCTCGTGGATGCGATCTACAAAGATAAGAAATGGATTTTCAAAGGTTGCAAGGTATTGAAAAGAGTATTGCTAGGTCAAAATTGGCATTTCTTCTCTTTGAGAATCTCCATCTCCCCAATCCTCGGTCGCAGAAGCATCAAATTTGCACCATTCTCCTTGAGACATACAGCTCTGAATGGAAAAAAAAATGTTCGCATGCAACTATCGTTCCCGAGACCCCACGACGCCATAACTGAGAATTTTTCTATTTTCGGATCCTGTTTTTTCGCTCTCATTCCTCGTAGAAATTTCCTATCGGCAAAAGCATGCTCCAGTTTTGTCACAAACGTATGATCCGAGGCGATACTTCCTGGATCAAAAGTCCTAAAATTCGTCCCATTATCATGTGATGAGACCACTATTCGGCTAATAGGAATAGCGCGACGCCAAACCCTTTCCGGAGAAGTGCTCACAAATCATGACCCGCACTACACCTGAAACTTGATTGCCGAACGGTCGGGTCCAAGGCCTGCTCTGTTCTTTCAGCTTCAGAGCTCGCGGTTCCAAAGGACGCATTCTCTCGCACCCGACCGAAAACTAGACTGTTAATCTAGCTTCCTGCCTGATGCACGGGTCAGATCGGTCCTATCGAGGCGATCCGCATCCCGTCCGAGCTCAAAATCTTCCCCTATTCTGCCTATGCGTTCTTAAATGAAAACGACCTGTCCCACTTCAACCAAAAGAAGCGGAATTCGCAGAATATTTGCATACATGCGATTGGGATCTCTCTATAGACGAAACGCATTCCCTTATAATTAATCGAACGAAAGTTTATTTGAAAAGTTTAAGCCCGGTCCTTTTAGAATACTAAGCGGTGGAACTCAAACGTGACTCATCGTTACTCTTCGTTACAAAAGGGAAATGGTTCGCCTCTTCAGACGGGAACCGTCCTCCCGCCCTCTACCTCATTATTATGAGTTCAAATTTCGATTTTGTGTGCCTCAGTTTTAAACTGTAGGTGCCATTCGAAACCTGTTGGCGATAACTATTGGGTCGAGAGCTGAAAAAGTTCTATAATTTTCACATTATGAGAGCTAATTTTGGCGATAGAATAATATCGTACTATATGCCTTCCCGGGCTGTGTATTCACAACTAGCAGAGATAGTATGAGGCAATGTCGGCTACGGAATTTGTTGCTATCAACACTGCTGGCAATGATCATATGTCGTACTTTGTCGCGTTACAAGTTCCGTCGCCGGTTTAAGACAGTGCTTCGAGCATCCTTCCAGCATTAAGTTGGTGCTCCAATATCATAATTTTTTTAATTTTGGCGTCCTCAAAATGCCCCGATAAAGCGTGGGAGGTTTCATCTAATCTGCGGCGGCATCTACTGAACGTAAGAAAAAGAGAAAAGTTGTGGAGTCAGTCAGTAATATGCGTGCATGACGAAAAAAACGCTGCTTCCAGGAACGGTGAAACTGACGAAGAAAGAGCAGAATCCACGAAATGTTCTGACTCGACTTGTTTCCCAGGTAACGCAGAACATTGAATCGACATTGATTGGATGCGGATTGAGTGTGCGAATGTTGAAGGTGAATATTGTTTCAATGTTGATGGAATGTTGTCACATCACATTGTGGACGTGGATTGTGGAATATTCGGATTACATTTCTTAGATGTGGCATCATTGTTAACCCCATTTAAAATGATGAAGGGTTGGACCTCTCCAATAGGTTTTCGGAGTACCATCAACCTACCACAACATGGTTTCGATTTTGAAAAAGAGACTCCTCAACTATTAAGACTTGCATGCCGTCTATTATGTTTTTGAATACTGATTGTTTTTTAGTTTGGAAACGAGTTTATAAACCATTTCCAATTATCCTATTGTCATCGTAGAGTCGTCTTGCATCCTTTTCACGACGTTATTTTACCGGAATAATGTACAGTAGTCTAGGCACGATCATAATGAAGTGTCAATAGTCCTCACTAGATGGTATCCATGTTCCCCTCTTGCCTCCTAATGCAATTACGAGGCAAGTATCTGTCACTTTCCATTAAAGAGCTTTCTTCCCCACTTTCATATTTTTATTACGTAATTAAAGAACACATGCACACACATGAACACAGTTTTGGAGGCCCACACATGAGGGTGATCTGTTGGCGCTTGAGGGTTTACAGAGGAGGGCCACAAGAATCATTAAGGATGTCAGGAGACTATCATACGAAAACTGTTTAGAAGTGTTGGGACTGTACTCGCTTGAACGAAGGTTAAGAAAGGGCGATCTCATCCAGACTTTAAGATAATTAAAGGAATAGATAATGTCGAGTGTGGTAGGCTTTTCCAGTTTGATGGCAGCAAGCGAACGAGAGGTAATCAACTCAAGTTGCGTAAACCGCANGCCTACCCTAAAATTAAGGAACGTTCTTCCTCGACACGTGATATCGAAATGGGCGAAATCGCCTCTTGATGTCACTAATTCTCTTGACTCTTGACTCTTGACATGAATTGAGAAATGTGGAATTATGATGTTCTGTTTGCATTATCTGATTCTAAAACAAGTTAAATGTCCAGGTTTAGTGTGGGCGCATAGAAGTCAAGGCAAGTAGAGACATGTAGAGCACACATAGGAATAAGCTGATCAATTAACAATTCCTCGTAAAGCGAAACTGAGGGGGCTCATCTTCAATTTGCAAACTATTCAGACTATGCAGATCTGAAGAGAACACATTTTCTCAAACTTATCTGTACTCCGTGGAGATGATTTGTCCTCTTTCGTATATGTAGTTTATCATCATGCGATTAATTTTGATAAATTTACCTCTACTTTAATCCATGGAGGAACCGAATTACCAGGGACTCATTGAGGAATGTTGAAACAATGTTGACAAAAATGAAATCTTCACATTGAATCAATGTGGTACCTCGATGTTGTTTCAACATTATAAATGTTGCCATGAGACATTATTTCAAAGTCGTTTCCCCGTGGACCTCGGTTCAGCCCGTGCGCGCACGAACTGAAAAACTAGTATAATATAAGAGTCTAGGCTTTCTGAACTATTTCTCATTTTCATGAATCTCCTCCGAAACAGTTTCCCCTCCTCCGCTGAATTTTTTATTTGGTCATTACGCATGCCCCAATTCACCTTGATTGGTACATGATATTTACAGCATTAATCTGGTAAGGCCTTACGCCCTTCCGATGGATTTCATGATTAAGGAATCGACTTAGTGATTTTTGTATACAACAGTCCAAGATAGAAACGGAGTACTTGGTTGGCATCGACTGGTGAAACATTATTAGCATTGTAATGTGTAGTGGTATTTGACCTCACTCAAAATTCTTTTCTTATGCTTTCGAATTGCTGCCGAATGGGCGCAGCCATTCTCTTCGTAGGTCAGAAAAGCTTAAATCCAAGCATTTGTGACCAATGTACCGGCGATGAAAAACATCCTATTCATAGGATGCATCCACTGGGTTTCCCAAAGTTGCTCTGATAAAATTATTATTTAAAAGTAAAATGGGAATCAATTACAACTGTTTCATGTACTCATTTTTTTCACTAACAATCGAGGAAGGACAAAGGTATATCGAATTTAATATTTTCTCAAACGCCTTTCTCGAACACCGAAATCTGAGCCACGGGAGCGTTAAGCCATTGTCTTCTTGCCTCAATTTCTATTATCTACTGCGATCTACTTTCATTTGGACTTCGATCTGATCAAATCGAGTCAAACCAGGATTCCCCGATTCGCAACCCTCCTCCTCTGGTAACACGCTGCGCATGTTTCACATCCGGATTTTCACACGTGCATAATTTAATTGTATTTAATTCATTTCGGTAGAGAAATGAGTCTGGAATGCACTTTTCACTTAGTTGTGGTCGATTAGGATCGAGAAGTTTCATGATAAAAAGACGCATTAGATATACAGGATCTTTATAGGGCTCATGATCGATGATCACACTTTCCTTATAAATGCGATTTCATTTCACTCAGTTGGCTCCTCCAGCATCTTCTATGACATCTCATCTCATCATCCGGCATTGACGGTTTGAAACTTCTCGGTGAAAAGGCGGCTGCCTCCACAACTTCCTTGGATCTGCTGAAGCAGGACATGCTGTCCTTTTCGGACGGGCACGGTGACTTGTGACTCCGTGACTTTCGTGTAGGCCCGGGAGTGCGCGTTGCTCCAATTGTAGCCGGTAGAGAAGGAGGTTCTCAGCGTCGAGAACTTCCCTTTGAGTTCGACTTCTGTTCCGACAGTCAAGGATCCTCCATCTGTCCTTGTGTTTCCCACTTCGATCCCCACCCTCTGGGTGAGTTTATATTCGATGTCGGTGGATTTCGCTCTCAAATCCGCCACGGTCACCCATGCGTCAGACGGCGTGCACGCGTCCCTATCCGGGCACAAGCAGACCCAAGTGCTGGCGGCATCGTTCATGGACGAATCAATATCCTTGATTCTGTTCGGGGATTTGTTGTTGAAAGTGAGGCGGCCGCCGTCGTAGTCCTTGTCCTTGTACAATGTTATTTGGCAGCCCAAACCCGTGGCCACAGACGAAATCCTGTCGTTCCAGCCGGATGGCGCCGAAGGCGTATAGCCTTGATTAACCTGTAGATACTCGCCTCCGCATCCGAAATTTGGGTCAGGGTGGCTATGCTCGTATAGGAAAGCGCAAAACTCCATCGGAATTTGATCCGGTCGAGGACACCGGCAGGATACTGATGCGGCCAGCATCAGAAACACGAACGCAGCGAACATTGCAAATGGACTCTCCACGTCAGCAGGAAATATCTGAAAGTGATGCATGATTCCAGGATCGAGAGATTCTAGACGCATTCGGAAAAGCATCATACATCTCTGTAGCGTAGTAAATGAATTCGTATCGTATGAAATAAGTATCAATAGGCTTTGGTAGCGCATATTACCTTTCATCATCCCCATACTGCAGCAAAATTCAACCGTCTCGTATTCCTCTATGAGAGCATCAATAGCAACAAAATTTGGCATGCGCTTCCTCTTCCACCACAGAATTGCTCCAGCAATTATGAAGTTCCATAGCCTCGGGGTTGTGGAGAATACTGAATCTCGTTTCCGGAGGATGTGAATTTCATTCAATGTTTTTTTCTCCCACCCCCCTGGGCAATCACTCCTTGGGATTATCCTAAGAAAGTGACCAGGCCCGAGAATGACATTGACTTGTAGATAATGAAAAGTGCTCATTTTGTTGCTTGCAACGCGCCATTTTGCCATGAGAAGTAAACGTAGCTCTTGTTCATTTTGGCTTAGAGCGTCATCTCCGATCCCTTCCCCCAGTGTTTGCCGGATATGGTGCCGTGATGCATTCATCCATCATGATACATTTTTGATGATACAGTGATGATATGGTACATTTTTGTGCCGAGTTCATGAGTTGAGCTGAGAATGAAGCGGTGGTTAGCAGTTATCGATCGATGTGGTGGGATATGCAGAAATGTCATCCAGATATCCCCGAATTAACAGGATGGCGCGTGCCAAGGATTGCATGCTTCTTGAAGGCATTGAAGACTCAGACCTATTCGAGATGGTTTCAGGAACTCCAGATAGGCCTTACGCTACACGTCCTCAACCAGATGCCTCGAAGACCACGATTCACCCTTATAGGCCCAATTGGCGCCGTAAGTCGAGAATTAAGTTTCTTTTTAAAAGAAAAAGGTATGCCTTGGCGTGACCTGAAGACATTTTACCGGTTAAGCATACAGCTAACATTAGTGAGTCCTGTAGAGAGGCTGGGGGGGGGGGGATTGGGTATAGGAGGCTGAAGAAAGGGAAAGCCATTGAAAATTGGTTTTCACATTACTATATACAAAAATATTTTATCTTTTCTCCAAATAGATTTCGATTATAGATAGTAAATCAGAAAGTAAAGTTCCCTATTTAATTTCTTCGGAGGGGGTGGTGATTACGCCGAAGACAAAATAGAGGAAATGTCCCCGCATACGTTTATTATTTTTTTACGTAGTCACCAGAATTGTCGAGACATTTGTCGTAACGGTCGATCAGCTTATCGAAGCCATGCCGATGGATGGACGCGTCCTGCTCTTGAAGCCACTTCGTAACTTCCTCCTTGACGGCGTCATCCGATGGAAAGCGTCGTCCTCGGAGATGCTTCTTCAGTTTTCCAAACGAGTGAAATCCGACGGCGCCAATTCTGGACTGTATGGTGGGTGGTGAACAGTTTCCCATCGGCCGGTGCTGAGAAGGTCCGTCGTGGAGCGAACAGTGTGGGGGCGGGCATTATCGGGCAATGAAAGCACTCCCTGTGACAGTAGTCCAGGCCGCTTCTGTCGAGCCGCTTCTTTCAGTCGTGTCAACGTCAGCTGATACGATGCGGCATTCACAATCTCACCACATGGAGTGAAACCGATGAGAATGATCCCGTGAACGTCCCAAAAGATGGTTGCCGTCACCTTTCCAGCACTCGGCGTTGTCTTCAACTTGTTTCTGACGCGGGAACCGGGGTGCTTCCATGTCATTCATTCCATTTTTGTCTCTGGAGTATTGTGGTGCACCCATGTCTCCTCGCCGGAGATGATGCGACACAAAGCGGTTGTCGCCTTCTTCAGCGTCTTCAGGTCTTCTGTGCCCACAGAAACCGAATTACTGTTCGGATCTCCAGCTTCGTACGCACGTGCAGTACCTTCGCCATGTTCGCTCCGACTCGCGGAGTTCGCGCCTACCAGCGCGGGTTTGTAGCAGTGGTGCCTGCTGGCACTTAGTGGCACTATTTGGTACTAACATGCGGGGGTGCCACAGCACCGGATGTTTGTTATTTTGACGAGAAAAAATGGGAACCTTACTTTTTTATTTACCCTCGTAGATGAAGTCGTGTGAAGACCGTTTCCCGGAGGTTATCCCTTTCTTCGACCTCGACCTCGACCACCCCCCCCCCTTCTCGACGGGACTCTCTAAGTTCAGGCCTTGGCCTGCCTTTTTAGTTGAAAAAGAAACTCGATCGTCGATTTACGGGGCCGATTAGGCCTAGAAGGAGTAATCCCGTGGTCTTCGAAACGCCTCGTCGAGGGCGTGTGACATTTGCCCGATCCTGTTTCGAGTTTCACGAATCGTTTCGTTGCGGACGCGAAAAGTTAAAAGACTACTTGTAATTCTTCGAACCGTCTCGACTAGGTCCGAGGCGAGAATGCCTGCCGGAAGCATGGAATGCACGTCGAACGCCATCCTGTCAAATCGGGGATGTCCGGGTGAGGTATATCCATATCCCAGCGCATCGATCGGCCGCTTCTAAAAACCGTTTCAAACTTAGCTCATCTCGTGAACTCGGCACAAAAATGTATCATACGTTAAATAGACAATAACAAAAAAAACAGATGATTCAGTCACCGCCCAGGTAACACATCCATGTGGAAACAACATTGAAACAATGTTTCATGGCAACATTTATAACGTTGAAACAACATTGGGATGCCACATTGATTCAATGTGAAGATGTCTTTTTTTTCAACATTGTTTCAACATTCCTTGCTAATGTTGAAACAATATTGATGGCAACATTTATTCAACATTCCTCAAAGAGTCCCTCGTGATTGGGTTTCTCCATGGATAAAGTAGAGGTAAATTCATCAAAAGGAATCTCATTACCTGTAGATGATGAACTACATATACAAAAAAGGACAAATCCTCTTCAGTATCTATAGGTCAGTACACACAGTCCTGAGTAGTTTGAAAGGATGGGTCCTCTTCAGTTCTGCAACAGCACCAAAGCCTTGCATGCATAACTGGTTTGCAAAACGCGGATAAATTCTCTCAGCTTCTTTCTTGGAAGATTTGTGAATGGATCACTTCAGGTTATTCTTAAGTGTGCTCTACACGTCTCCAATGACCTAGACTTCTATGCGCTCACACTAAACCTGGACATTTAATTTGTTTCAGAATCAGATTCTGCAATCAGAACATAATAATTCCAAATTTCTCTAATATATGTGTTCATTAATTACGTAATAATAAGAGGAAAGTGGGAAGAAAACACTTTAATGGAAGGTGACAGATCCGTAATTGCATTAGGAGGCTACAGGGGAACATGGATACCATCTAGTGAGCTCTCTTGGTACTTCATCATGAATGCGCCTAGACTTCACTACCCTAGTAACATAACGTCCATAAGAGAATGCAAGACGTCTCCGCAATGACCGTAGGATAATTGCAAATGGTTTATGCATTTGTTTACGAATTAAAAAAATATCATTCTTCAAATACTTTATAATAAATGGCATGCAACTCATTAGTTGTGGAGTCTCATTTTTTCCACATTGAAACCATGTTGTGGTAGGTTGATAATACTCCGAAAATCTATTGGGGAGGTCCCACCCTTTATCATTTTTAGAGGGGTTAACAGTTATGCCACATCTAATAAATATAATCCGACTATTCCCAATTGGAATCCACAATGTGATGCGACGACATTGTATCAACATTGAAACAATGTTCAACTTCAACCTTCAACATTCGCACACTCAATCCACATCCAAACTATGTTGATTCAATGTTATGTGTTACCTGGGCGATACGAAGGCCGAAGCAGTCGTGAATCCGACATAACTCCGGTACGGTATCCGGCAACACTGGGGGACGGAACCGCCGCCAGCTCGCTAAGCCTACATCAACGACAGCTGATTTAATTTTTTAAAATGACGAAATGGTGGATCGCAATTGATAAAAATGGCACTTTCGCTACCTACAAGTCGTTATCTTACTTTCCGTGGGGTCGTCTCCGAAACCCCCCCAAGGGTGGCTACCGAAGTGGGGAGAAAAAAAAAACAATGGGAACGATATTGAGATCCTTCAAAATCGGCATTTGGCATTCTCCGTTCTCTTACCGTTTTCTCATCTCTGGAAGCGATCTACATTTTCGTACGCTTATTCGATAGGTTTCCCACGGAGTCGGGTTGGAAATCGAACCGTTGGATCGAAACGCAAGCGAGTTCACTTCGAGGGATGCGATGGTCGCGAAGATCGAACGATAGAGATCGCTCGGCATCGTTTCCGCGAACGGGATCGGTCTCCGCAGACGGAGCGCAAGATCGGACTCACGAGTGCGCGATGAAATCACGAGTGCGCGGTTTTCACTTTCGACGGAGGAGGAGGCCGAGGAAAGACTGGACGTAGAGAGAGAGGGGGGAGGAAGATATGAATGGAATAGTTGTATGCATCGCGTCGCGTCGGAGCGCCTCGAGGGAATCAGCCCCTGCCCTTCCCCTAAGATCAAGGCTTTCCGTTCCCGAAGTGGCATTCAGCCAAGTAGTCCCCCACCCCCCCGGGGCACCAGTCGCGTCCGGGATGCGTTCCATCGAACGCGTCATCGTTTGGAAATTGGATCTTACGAGAATACCACCATATTTCGCCAGAAGATAAACGCATCGGCTTGCCGAATTTTCTCTCTTCCCTTCGTCGGAGGCGATTCGTGGCGACTTCCGGCACCGTCGGGGAGGCTCGCCGGATCCGGGAGTTTTTCTTCGTCGATGCGTTTTGGGACGCCAACGTTTCGGGATGGACGCTCGCGATTTCCATCGCATCGGGATGTCATACAAATACGTAAATCCGCTTATATATGAAACTTAGTGTCACGTTCGCTCTCGTACGGTACAGGCTGACTGTACTGATAACAGCACGTGTCAAAGGATGGACCACCTCTTATGGTTCTCTGATCACGTAAGGCAACTCTTATTATTAATCAAAGCGTGGCATTTCGAAAATTCGAAATTGATCCCTTTATTACTGTATTTTCACCTACCGATAATTAAAAATTAACCATGAGTTACAGCTTGTTAAAATTTTGTTACCCATGAATGGTACATGTGATAAGTCAATCGCAAGTTCTTTATGAGTAGATTGCGTTGCTGCATATTTTATCCAAGAATAATGAATACGTAGTAATTGCAATGTCAAGAAGTGTGTGTTGTAGGCTACACTAGCACGAAGTGACGTGTGCTCGCACGTTCAACATTGGGGAAGACGCGTTGAACGGAGGGCGAGAGGGCGTCCGTTTTCGCTGAAGCAGAAAGCCTTATCCCCTTTACACTCTTAGAAAAAGGGGAGCGATTTTTCTCAAAAAAAAGAGCAAAATAGCTAACTCCAGTTTCACCCCCCTTTCACTCTGAGAAAGGAAGAAATTTACTCCATCATGAAGGAGTAAAATTGCGCTCCTCCTCCATGAGTAAAAACGCTTCCATCAGAAAGTGATAGGGATGTCGTGCAAATACGAAAAAATTCTTATATACTGTGTGTCGCTATCTCTCTCGTACATGCATTGACCTACCTCTAACAGTACTGATTACATCACACGTCAGAGGGTGGACCACCTCTTATTGGTTCTGTGGAGTAGTCCGGAATCCAGTTCCTTCCCTCTTTCCCTAGAATCGTCCCTCGCAGGATTGTTCAGTACCTTGCCATATGTCTCGCCTAGTCTCATTATAGGAAGCATTAAACACGGATATTTCATCCTTTGTTATCCACATCTTCAAGACATATTCATAGAGTCCATGCCATAAACAAGCTCATATTCCTATTGAGAACCCCTTGGAACGCGGGTGATTTTATTCGCATAGGAGATCTAGATTGCGTAGGGAGTGCCCGTGAACTTCAATCCCTCATACTTTAATAAATGAGGTGATAAGGAATGATATCACAGACTACTCCACGGAACCAATAAGAGGTGATCCACCTTCTGACGTGTGATGTAATCAATACTGTCAGAGGTAAGTCAACGCATGTACGAGAGAGATAGCGACTCACAGTATATAAGGATTTTTTCGTATTTGCACGACATCCCTATCACTTTCAGATGAAAGCGTTTTTACTCACGGAGGAGGAGCGCAATTTTACTCCTTCATGATGGAGTAAATTTATTCCTTTCCCAGAGTGAAAGGGGGGGAAACTGGAGTTAGCTTTTTTACTCTCATTTTTCAGAAAAATCGCTCCCCTTTTTCTAAGAGTGTACGACAACGTTGACTAAACGTTGATGATATGTTGAACGGATCCGTGTCCAGGCGAGCCATCTGGTGAGACATTCGAACAAAGAAGGTTTCCTGATCCCGATGAAAGATGGCGCCAAATGGCTAACGCTGTGATTTACTTCATATTTGCAACTGCCACGCGTCCCCTGTTCTTTTGGAACGGTACTTAATTTTTTTTTCCAAAAACAGCACCAGGGAAGATATTTGAATTCCTGGATGCATTTGACGAAAGAAGCAGCACAGCCCCATGAGGCCCGTTCCATGATGATCCTCAGATGGAGTCCACTCCGAGGCTCTACACTCTTAGAAATTTATAGCGTTTAGGGAGTAAAAAGTGAGCACACTGTGAGCTTTTCAAATGTACTTCCTTATTACTCACCAAATACTCCCTCATCTATTGCATGGAAGTGAACAACTTGAAGTTCTTTCTAAGGCCACTAGATGAAGGTAACGGTCTTGTTTTTCGCACTGTACACAAAAATTCTCTTCCCTCTGTGCCTCGTCATAAGTTTCGCCTAGTCTCATTATAGGAATCAATAAACTTGGACACTTCTTCATTTGTTATCCACATATTCGAGACAGATTCATAGAGCCTAGGCCATATAGAAGCTCATATTCCTGCTGAGAATCCATTTGAAGTTTGAAAAGCTTCATCCGCAGAGGAGCTTTAGAATTTAGAGTGTCCGTGTAGTCAATTCGACTTTTTTCTCAACTTGATGAGAGAAAGAAGAAATGAGGAACCGATATCGTCGACACATCATGGAACCGTAAGAGGTGGTCCATCCTCTGACATCTGTAATCAGCACAGTTAGATGTAGGTCAACGTCTGTACTGACAAAATCGAGAGCGAAAGCAGCACACAGTATATATGAGGATTTGCTGATTTGCATGACATGCTTATCTCTTTCTGAGGGGAGCACTTTTGCTCACGGAGGAGGAGAGGATTTTTACTCCTTGGTGATGGAGCAAATTCGCTCCTTTCCCAGAGTGAAAGGGGGGTGAAACTGGAGTTATCGACTTTACTCTCTATTTTGAGAAAAATCGCTCCCCTTTTTCTAAGAGTGTAGGGTGGTTCAAAAAAACGATCTACCGTTTTCACAGTTTCATAAATGCAGCAAAAAAAATTCAAGTTGGATACGCGATCGATATTCGACATTTAAAACATGTTAAAATGATTGCCAGGTTTTTTTCAGCACCCCTGCCTAAGTCGAGCATTGCTCATGTAGAGGTGAAATGAAGGTGCTTAGAGGTGGATCATTCCACCTCAAGTGTAGTGATCACCTGTGCTCGACCGTCTCAGAATTAAAAAAATTTTTCAACGTCAACGTTTCTAGCGACTGTTGGATCTATCTGATACTTGACAAAGATGTTCACCAGCCTAATAGGTTTTTTTCACTTCAACAAGATGGCGCTGTGTTCCTGATAGAGGGTTCTATCCTTGACCGGGTGACTGATGGTGATTATGAAATGAACGTTAATTGAACATGTTCGAGTGCTACTTCGATGATAGTCTCTAGAGATCATGGTGACTCCTTCCGCGACAACAGAACAGTTCGTTTCCTCTGGTTTCCAGCAGGTATGCTGCAACTAGCTAACTTAATTTTGAATCTCAATCTAAAAGGAACTGCTAAACTGTCATGATTGCTGCAGAGAGCTAGCGGGTATCCTGCCGTTGTAGGAACTCGAAAGGAAATGATAAGTCCTGTGCGCGATGTCTGGTTTTGTTAAGCCAATATTGTGCTGACGATTGTGCATAGCAGGATTGAGACATGCTGCGGTGAGAATTCCAACCCAATTATAACTCTAGGATGGGAAACATTTAATTCAGAATCGCCTGTAGGTCCCATTTAACAGGAATCGATCATATTCAGTTGGAATAACCGTCCAGCATCGGAGGATTCATCTGGTTGCAAAGTTCTTCGAAGACATTCGGATCCAGTTCTTGAAAAGAAGTACCATCCTCACAGGACCCTCGAACTTGAGAGAGGAGGACTTGATCGAGTACCAGCCAAGCCATACTGCAATCGCACTGAATGGGATTCTCTGCAATTTCACGAGCGTAAAATTAGCTGTAATAGAATTCCGGCAACCAAATTTTGGAGAAACTGTAATATTGTTTTTCCCACCGCATAAGGGAAATAATGATCGGTGTCACATGACCTCATTTCGGACCATTATAGGATAGGCTAAAATGATTGGAGTCTTTGCACGAAAATTAGAGGTGCTTATTGTGCGACCAATGCATCTGAAATTGATTTCCTATGCGGGTGTCTTGTGGTACTTATTTTCCTAAAATTTCCCCAAGTTAAGTATGATAGGCAAGAAAAAAGTTTTCCATTCCATCAATCCAAAACATTAAGAAAATATTCCCATAGAAAGAAAGACTTCCATATGAATGATGCGGTCATCAGCAGTTCATTTTCCTTATGGAGTCGAGGAGATCGATGCAAAAAGAAAATGCCATCAATGTTACTAAATGCCATTACCATTTCTAGAGCAATCAGGAGTCCTTCATTGCCTTGAGTTGATGACCTTTGGAGAGATAATATAAACGAAAGAAATTGATTCATTTCCTAAATTCAAGAAATGAGAGCAAATAGCTCTCAAAGAACCAAAATGGAGAAGTCTAAGGGGTAAACATAATACTTTTAGATTTTCATGATGTTCATGCGTCAGTACGATATGACATATGGCTATTTTTACAAGTACGTCATTTTTTGTTGTCAAGTAATGTCTCTTTAGTCTATTTTCATTGTTGATCAATTGAATGTTACAGAATACCTGAGAAAGAGGGACAAAGGCACTTCAGATTATTGCGACAGTCACCACTAAGCTCATGCCCCGAGGAAATTTGGCATGGAGCTGACAACGGCTTGGCAATTTGTTTTGGATACTAAACCAATGCTTAACAAATTCCTCCGTGAGTCATACTCGATTCCATTGCTTCCGAAGGGTGGAGATAGGCGACGGAGAAAAACTCAATTTTGGCAAATATGGGACTAAATTACTCGATATTTCTCAGACATGTCCACTTCCATGTAGCGTTTTTAGTTTGGATTAATGACTACATACCGTTGTATTCCTTTTCTTCCTCATGCCTCTGCAGATGTCATGAGAGCAATATCCCAAAAAACGCGAGCGTAAACGAGAAAGCAAGAATCCCATGAGTTTGAACTCTAATGAAGATGGATGGAGTGCAATTTAGAAAACTATGCCAAATACTAAATAATACTGTATATATATATATATATATATATATATATATATATATATATA